ATAATTTCTTCCATCATGTAAAACGATGTCAGATGATAGGAATACATTCAGATGCTTACAGTCTCATAACAGAAAACAACTGAATGTAATAAAACATTATGCATACTTAATACTTGAGGATCAAAGAAAAGGTTACAGGGTATGGATGGGGTAGGGTGCCAGGGGGAAGGATAACAAAGTCAAAAAAGGCTTTTTTTAAAGAGGTATTCTTAAATTCTGGAATCACAAGAAATAGCTAACAAAAAAAAGGTAGGAGGAGGATGGCAAAGAACAAATACAATTAAAATACTACCTCCATACAAGAAAGCCCTAGTTCCACTTATCACTCTAAACCCTGTTTTAAAATAGGGGTTAAGATAAAAGTTTATAAAGTGCACATCAAATACAAACGAGATAAGAGGAGGGCCAGGGATTTAGCTCAGTGGTGCCTCTGCCTGCGTCACAAGCGCAAGGTCCTGAGTTCAATACCCAGTACCCCCCAAAAAGAGAGAGAGAGAGAGAGAGAGAGAGAGAGAGAGAGAGAGAGAGAATGAGATAACAGGAAGATTGATCAATGGGAATTAACTTTGCTAAAAGCAAATGTAAAATATGGGTGTGGTAGACTGCCCCCCCAAATTGCCAGTTCTTCCTCTTCCTGAATGCCCCCACCTAGAATTCTCCCACCAAGAGATGGAATTTTTACTTCTTTACTTTAGTTGTTTTGGTCTTTGTAGTGCTGGGGATTGAACCCAGAGGGTCTCTTCATGTTAGACAAGTTCTCTACCACTGCGTTACATACGCAGCTCCCTTCTTGCCAGGGTCTCATTATGTAGCCCAGGGTGGCCTTGAGTTTGTTCCTCTGACCTAAGCTTCCCTACTCGTGGGATTACAGGCTGTAGCTTCATGCCCAGCATTCCTGACTTCTTGAATATGTGCTGGCTATGTGACTTGGTTGTGACAAAGTTGTGTGAGTTCTCTCGCTGATCTTCTAAAGGCCTTGAACACACTTCATAATTCCTGTTGGGGAAAGACCACCATAGTGATACCGCAGTTGCTGAATGTCTCCAAGTTCAAATTTTCCATTACTTGAACTGTAAATACTAGAAAAAATTTGCTTGGCTCTCCATAGTCGAAAAAACAATCTGACTTGGAAAAACCTGTATGGGGTGAGTGAGTCACACATTGCATCTTGATGCAGACACAAAGGGGTGATACTTCAGTATAAGCACCACTCTCACCCAGATAACACAGAGTCCTTGGATTAGAGTGTTAAAATATTCATCACTGTGGGTTTTTTTCCCCCGCTTTGTGTGAAATATCACAATCATGGCTCCAAAGAAAGTTAGTGATACCAGCAGTAAAGCTAAGAGGAAAATTGAGATCCATGACAGAATTAAAGAAAAAAATCATTGTGAAATTTGTTAAAGTCCTTGGAAAAAATGAATTTATAAGTGTAATCACTTGCTTTGCTATTATTTATTATGGGAAAAATATGTTCACTTCTAGAATTTTTGGATGTTCAAATGGCAAATTTGGAATGAACTGAGTTCAACAACTGAGGTATGAGCCAGGGATTTAGCTCAGTGGTTTCGTCACCTGCCTTGCAAGTGCAAGGAGCTGAGTTCGATTCCTGGTACCGCCGCAAAAAAGAAAAGCAACTGAGGTATCACTGAATATGGATAGCCCTGATATACAGTAGATCCTTGACTTATGACTGGCCTGACATACAAACAACTTGGATTACAATGGGAATTTTAGTTTTAACTTACGAACAAAGTCTTGAGTTACGACACAAATGCTGGCTGCTTGTGCTTCCAGATGGTCTCAGATACAGATTTAACCCTTAAAGAGTTCTGGAAGGAACATTACAACATCCTTTCCGGTGCAGGGTTAATTGAGCAATCCTGGGCCAGAATCTCTCTAAGGACAATGAGATCTCCCTGTATACAGTAGAGACTTTGAGGGCTGTGTAGATGAGCCTGAGCCTTCAACTGATCAACTTGAGTTACAATCAGCCCTTGGGAGTGGACTGAGTTTGTAAGTCAAGGGTCCACTGTATATATAATCTGTTGCATAGACAAAGTGGCTTGGGTGTCAACCAGGGTAAGCCATGCTTGGCCCAGATAACCTGAACCAAGGAGTTAAAACAGCCTAAATTACTAATCCTCAGAATCAGAAGCTAAATAAACAGTGCTTGTTTTAAGCCAGTGTGAGGCAGGAAGGTAGGGCATGGCAAAGTTGGCTGGGGGAATAAGTGGGACCTATTAATTATAAGATCCCAGGACACATACCAAATAACTCCCAAGGCCCCATATATGGACTTCACAAAGGCTCCCACAAGATGTAGATGGCATAAAAAGACACAAATGCCATGGAGGGCTTGTTCCCATGCCTCTTCACGATAGCCTGCCCTGGGTTCTCCAGGGTGTACCTTTATTTTTGCTTTTAATTTTTCCTCTCTTTTGTTTGGCCCAAGTTCACTCAGCAGAGCCAGTTTCTCTTTTACCTTCCACCCTCACTTTTTCAAATAAACTTTACCACTGTTCTTGTTTGTTTTGTTCAAGACAAGAAGGACCTGGAAACTAAGAGGAAGCACCCCAAAAACCTGGTAACATTTACTTGGGTGAGGCATTTCTAAAAGGAGCTGCCTAATAACATTTAGGATACCCAGCCAGGGAAAAAGCTCTAGTTACCAGAAGACCAAGGTAAGGCCCTCAGGGCACGTTGTTTTTGGTACTGGGGATCGAACTCGGGACCTTGCGCTTGTGAGGCAGGTAGCAGAACCACTGAGCTAAATCCCCAGCCCAGGGTACAATTTTTTTTTTAACTCATTTGATCAGATCTATTGTTTAGCAATTGATGAGTATTTTCAATGCTTAATAATAATTGTATTCATTATATTTGTGATTGTTAACTTTCTCATGGAGAAAAAGAAAACTAAGCATAAAAATACCTGCTGGGGCTTCAACATGAATTTGGTTTTTACAGATACTTGGGCCGGTGTCTTCAAGGTGGCAGAGAGGCACCATCAAGTGACCAGTCACAGGTTGTGACCTTTGACCCACTGCTCAATCCACCTCAAGACCTGGTTTATGTTGTCCTCTCGCTCTTCAGGTGTATTGCTGGGCAGCTGATGCACAATATCTTCCTTGTATAACATGACCTCTTCATAAAGAACTTGAAAAATCTCACACTCGATATTGTCTCCTAGTTTCTTCTCATTATAAACCCTTATTTCAAGTCTTTTGTAGAGGCTCAACTCTGGGACACACTATCACAATTTCTTTGTTCCTCTCTTTGAGGTTTTTTTCCCCCTCCTTTCCCTCACTTTCCCCTAGGCTAAGAATCAGGGGTCTGTTCTCAAGGCACTAAGGAAGGGCTTCCTGGCCTCACCACATGGGGGATGGAAAAAAGAATTCACAGCTTTTGCTTTTCTTCCAGTTGGAATACTTTCTTTCTTGCTTGCACTTACTCTACTTCAGCACATTTGTTTGTTGCATTTTGCTACCCTTTTTGGAAATTAGCCTGGTCTCCGCTTATCCCAGTTTATAAATGGCCTTTCTCTCTCAGGTTTTTATTTTGGTTCAGAGCACTGCCATATTGTCTTGCCACATGGCTGGCTGCTATCTTGTCTTGTTACGTGACTATTATGTGGACTTGCATTGTCAGCTGCTATCTTTCCTTTTGCTTTTTTTGTTTTTTTTTAAATCAACTGGGCTTCAAAGCTAAGCCTCTAATTTTGAAGAACAGGGAAGAACATGTTTTCTTAAAAAAATTTTTTTTTAAATTTTTTTTTAAATTGGCATTTTGGTAGCTTATTTTGAAGGTCGTTTTAAAAACAAAATTAAAGACAATCTGAGAAAAAAACTGCACAGAATACCCTCATTAAACAGTATGGCAATTAAATCAAAATAGAGGAAGTATGTTCTCTTCAGCAATTCCAGAAATAATTTCTTTTGTTCTGAAGATTCTTATATTTCCAAAAAGGAGTGAAAATGTGGCAATTAAAACTGTTTCTTACTCATATAAATCTACAATAGCAACCAAACTTTTCAGTTCTTCCCAATAAGTCAGTTTCAATCTTCAAACTGTGCCTTTTTTTTTTTTTTAAGACAAGACTCTAGAAGGGCCGGGGATTTAGCTCAGTGGCACCGCACCTACCTTGCAAGCACAAGGTCCTGAGTTCGATCCCCAGTACGAAAAAAAAAAAAGATAAGACCCTAGAAATTCAATGGGACTTGGTGGTTTTTCCTTTGCGGGCACAAGAAGTCCCCATAACAAGATAGACACAACTGTCTGATCCAGGAAAGCAAGAGCTGATAAAGACGGTACATCTATCTTCTGTTTTGATGACTTTTCTGTATTAATCTTCTTATTCTCTACTATCCTCTCAACATTGTCTGTTAGACTGTACTCACAGTGAGGATTCTCTGTACCCTGCATCTATCCCTCCAGCATCTGCTCTGGCTCCATGGCAGACCCTGAAAATCAGTCCCCTGGTACCAGTCTGCACCCAAGCTGTTTGTTCCTGAGTCCTACACCACACCACCAAATCTCAGCAATAACATAGGAACCTGTGTTTGTTTTTTTAAAACTTATTTTAACTGGCATAGTGTCTTCCTGCACAAAAAATTGTGTGTGGCCACTTTTAAGAACTTGTGCAGCTTTGGATCAGGTGAGGGTGTGACTAGAGGAGGAGATGAGTGGTGCCTGATGGTCCCAGAGGCCAAGCCCTGGTTGTGGGGCTTGTGGGGCCGGCCTGAGGAACCTTCTCATTCCCCTCCCCACTGTCTTGGCCTGGGTGACTGGGCCTGAACAATGGGCACACGGAGTGGCCAGACCAGAAGCACAGTGGCATGCAGCTGCAGACGTCTGAGAGGACAGGCCTCACCAGCATGGGTGGTCTGCTCAGGGCAAAACTGACGCATGGGCCCATGGCCCACGGTGACCCTTGTTCTTGGAGGGCAGTGGCCAGAGTACAAGCAGCAAGTCAAGCTGGCTGTAGCTGGCTTAGTTTTCTCTGAGTCCAAGGGACCACCTGAGGCTCTGAATTTCTTTCTTGTTAAACCTATACCTCACAGCCTGACCAGAACAGCAATGTTTAACAGCATTTAAAACCTAACTAAAGTGACTATGGGTATACAAAAGCAGAGCCATTCCCATTCTTAGTCTTTTCACTATTAGAGTATATGCAAGAGATGTTTTTTCCCATATGGTCTTAACTCTCCTTAAGTAAAGGACCATCAAGGGTTCAAAATGCAAGAAAAGAACCATCAAGGGGTTCAACTGGATGGCTAAGGAAACTTTGCTTGGGGAAAATTTCACCCTTTCTTCATGGAAGTTAAAGGACTAAGCAAGGCCAACAGGTGACTTGGCTCCCTTCTCCCTTATGAGTCAATGGGCCCCAACATGGAGACAAAAGCCCTCAGGGGGCTTTTCTTCTGTAGCTGATGATGCCAGGATCACTTGGACAGAGATGTCTGCCTACTCTGTGTTAGGGTCTCACAAGAGACGTTGTGGGAAACCTTTGGGTCTCTCCCTTCTACATGGCACACCATCTTAAGGAGTCAAGACCTAGTCATCTCCTCCTCTCTACAGGCTCCAAGAAGAGCCAATGGGAAACCTCTTGGAGCTAGGCAGCACACAAATTTCACCAACTTTGTCATTGGGCCATATCCTTGATGAGTGGGAAAGGTTGATCCTGACAATTTAAAACTGGAAGAACTTATCTACTATTGCTATACATTTTGGGTTCAATACAAACTAAAAAATGGCAAGAGATGGGTACAAGACAGTATTTAAACTATAATACTATTCTCTAGTTACAGTTTTTCTGCTTAAAATATTAAAAAATGGAATGAAATCTCTCATGCACAGGCTTTTGTGACTCCTTATCACAGGAAATGCTCAAAACCTAAGACAGTATCCTGTCTCGGAACCCTCTCTTGTCTCTCAGAGGGATATGGGTCTCTCTGATCTGTTTGATGATACTAGGAGGTCTCTTCTATCTCCTCCTTATAATGGCCAGGCCAATATATCAGGCCCTCTTTTCAGTTACAGTTACTTGTCCAGCAGTGCAAAGAATTAGTAGGCCAACTGTCAGAAAAACAAGGACTTGTACAAAAGGCTAGGAACTATGCAGAGGGACAATGTGCTTTAAAAACAAAGAGAGAAAAACGAACACCATAGGAAGGTTACTTCCCTTTCAAAAGAACTAAAATGGAAGTCCAGTACTAGTTGGGGGGACTAAGAGTAATATGCTACCTGCTCTTACTAGGAAGATAAAGAGGTGTGTTGAGTCTTTTGTAAATATACTAATCAAGAGAGTAGCAGATGATATGGTACCTCTGCCTCATTAATGAGGCTATCATTCCAATCCATCCTCTAGACACAGATCCATATACAATTCTCTCCCAAATTCCAGAGGACACTAACTGGTTCTCAATCTTAGATTTAAAAGATGGATCTTTTTCCCATCCACCTACATCCAGACTCTCAATTTGTTGTACCTTGAAATGAGATGATATTCTAGTTTGCAACCCCAGATACTGGGGACAAGCTACAAAAACTTCAAATGAAGCCACAGATACCTATGGCCCAATTGCTGCACATGGCATTTTCTGTGTTCAACAACTGGGATCCAGAGGAGAGACAAAAGAGAAAGGCTAAGATTATAGCTGTTCCAATTGGTAATGCTTTAACTCATCCAAATTGTCTAAGGAAAAACCCACAGAGAACCAAGGTTTCTATTTCAAGTGTAAAAAAAGTCTGGCACAAGATTGCAACAAGCCTCTGTCTGGACTCTGCTCCATATATGAGGCAGCTAATGTGTCTGACTCGTGGCACTACAGATTTGACTGTCCTCCCTCCTAAAGAGAGATTAGGGCAGCCAAAACCCTCATTTCCTGCTCTGATGACTGCAGAGGCCCAGGAGAACCTGCAATGCCCTGTCCACAGACATTGTCATCTCATCTAAGGAACCCTGGGTAACCCTGGATGTCATGGGTAAGTCAATTCAATTATTTCATTCTGGTTTGTTTAACTAATCTAGACAGCATGTTTCATAATTAGATAATTCATAATTCATCTACTTCATTCTGTTTGACTTCTGAAAAACCTCCTCTGGATCTATAGTCATAGTTGGGGTCAAGGGGACCCCTAATCAAAGAGTCTTTACTCCTCCTCTGCCCAGACATTAGCCACCCTTATAAACAACACATTGGTGACCTGCCCTTCCAAGACCCTGAGGAAGTGTGGTTCATGATGGAAGTAGCTTTGTCTAAGGTTATTCAGTTGTCAGTTCACAACAGGTTACTGAAGCTAAACCTCTTCCTCCAGGAACCTCTGCTCAAAAAGCAGAGGTGGGCCAGGGATTTAGTTCAGTGGTGCTGCCGCCTGCCTCATAAGCACAAGGACCAGAGTTCGATCTCCAATACGGGAAAAAAAAAAAAAAAAAAGCAGAGCTAATAGCTTTCTTGGGCACTGATAGGAAAAAGGCAGAAACTCCAAATATGCCTTTCTGGTGCTTCACATCATGCAGCCATCTGGAAAGAGACTTACTGACTAATAAACAATCATCTATAAAGCACAGGCAGGAAATTCTACAACTTCTAGAAGCAGTCTATCTTCCCAAGCAGGTTGCAGTCATGCCCTGTAAAGGGCACCAAAGAAACATGCCTGAAGTTTCTTTGGGAAATCAAAAGGCTGATAGGGAAGCAAAAGGGACAGATGCTAACCTTATTCCCAGTTCCTGAGGAAACAAACTAGTCCTTCCTTGAGGGACATAGTACAAGGCTATAAAATATTTCATGATTCCTTCCATATGAGAAGAGATGCTACATTGGAAATGGGCACTCAAGTTTTCACAGGACTAGGACTAGAGGCAACCGTCCAACAAGTCTGCAAAGCTTGTGGAGTGTAGACACTCTGTGCCTACATCAACCTGGGTAACCTCAAACCACCTCCTTTATTAGAATCTGTATAGAGGAGAGGCCTATACCCTGGCGAGGACTGGCAATTAGATTTTACCCATACGCCACCATGTGGGGGTTTTAAACAGATGTTGGTCCTAATTGACATGTTTTTCTTTTTTCTAATTGACATCTTTACAGGCAGGACTGAAGCCTTTCCTATTCGTTCAGAAAAGACTCACTCCAAAGTAACAATGGACCTTCTTTTACCACCCAAATGAGTCACAGAGTGGCAAAGGCTTTAGGTATAAAGTACCACCTCTATTCCACTTGGCAGCCTCAACCTTCTGCAAAAGTAGAGCATGCCAATCAGACCCTAAAATGAGTTCTGGCAAAAACTTTGCCAAGAGATGTCTGAGTACTGGCCCTAATTGCTGCCAATAGCACTTATGAGAGTTTGTAACAGGCCCAAACCTGGGCTAAGTTTGAGTCCATTTGAGATGTTATATGGGAGCCCCTTTCTTCTGCAGCATAGTAATCTTGGGAAGTATGGGATTTGAAGAAGGCACAAGGAAGTTGCCAAGGACTAGATATGTTTCTTTGTTGTTTTTTTTTCCTTCTTTAAAGTGGTGACAAAGTGTATTTGAAAAAGTAAAAGTGGAAAGTGAGGGAGAAACTGGCTCTGCAGAGCAAGACCAGGCTAAGTAAAACAGGAAAAGCAAGATGAAAGTACACCTTGAAAAAAAACCAAGGGTACCAGGCCGGGGATTTAGCTCAGTGGCACCGTGCCTGCCTCTCAAGCACAAGGCCTTGTTGAGTTCGATCCCTGGTACAAAACAAAACCAAAACCAAAAAGAAACAAACAAACAAACAAACAAACCTAACAACAAAAAAAATACCCTGTAGGATGCAGGCTGGGCTATGGAGGAAAACCAGATAGCATAGAAGCGTTTCTTGAGTTGAGTGCTTGTTACAAGAGTATTTAAATAATGAAACTTCCCTGGGCCTGGTGGCACACACCTGCAATCCCAGGACTTGGGAGGCTGAGGTAGGAGGATTGCCATGAGTTTGAAGCTAGCCTGAGCTACATAGTGAGTTCAACTCTAGTCTGAACTACACAGTGAAACCTTGTCTCAAAAACATTAAAATAAAACTGTGCATATTCATTGAGCTATAAACTTTATGACATATTAAAAAGGGAATTATATATATCACTGTATTTTGATTAACATCTCTACTGATCTTTCAGCTCAAAAATTCTTAGTCTAGGGGCCAGGGATTTAGCTCAGTGGTTCCACCGCCTGCCTCACAAGCGCAAGGTCCCAAGTTTGATCCCCAGTAAAAAAAAAAATTCTTAGTCTAATGCACAGCTATATGTGTGTACTGTTGTGATTTTTTTAAACTGCTAACCCACCCCAGTTCCTAGGGCAAACACAGCCACTTATCAAATCAAAACTATTTAGGAAACAAAAAACCTGAAAAACAGGAACCCGAATAGTTTAAGAGCAGGTGCATATGACATCCTAGCTTTCACTGGAATCAGACTCCTTCCCCTACTTACTACTTACCTCTAACTTATCTCCCTGAAGCAGATACCTGATAGATGTGGGGTGGGGATTTGGTTTCAGACAACTCATTAATACCCAATCAAAACTACTTTCTTGGGCTGGGGATTTAGCTCAGTGGTTCTGCCCCCTGTCTCACAAGAACAAGGTCTTGTGTTTGATCCCCCATACCAAAAAAAAAAAAAAAAAAAAAAAAAAAAAAAAAAAAAAGGAGCAATCCAAAATGCAAAATAATCTAGCTAGAATTCAGAGGCAGATGGCCAGAAAGACTGAGGAAACAAAAGAGAACAGTGATCAGAAAAGCAGCATACTCTGCTAGAAAAATTAGCATGCTCTCCTACAACAGGGGTCTCCTGGCTGGGTACTCTCTTGGGAAAATCCCAGGGGCCAAATTCAAAAGAACCAACTTCATTTGCACATTTCACATGCACATCCCCAGGCAATATTTGGAACTTTATTATCACCATTCCAAAGGTTATCATTTATTGAGTTTTTCCTCTTTATTCTCTCAAACACTACAACATTTTAGGATGAAAAATGTGAGACAGCACTGAAAAGAAGTTTAAAATACCAATATAGTAGAAAACTCAGATGTTGCCATCTACGATGGAGCCAATGGCATGTTTTTTTTAATGCTACTGCTTTCCTAGCGAAAAAAGCAAGCCAATAATGACAAACTTGTGAGGCTTACATAGGCCCCAATCTCTCCCTCAGTCCCTCTCTCTGTGTTTCGATTTTACTTTTGGTTGTTTTTTTTTTTTTTTTT